CTCTGCAGGCCGCCGGTCAGCAGGGTCAGCCCGGGCAGGGCGGGATGGCCCCGCAGGTCAGAGGGGATCAGCCTGGGCAGGGCAGGGCGGTGTGGGCGGACGAGTCATTCCTCGTAACACGGACCAGACCGCTCCGCTCCACCAATTGGCGCGGTCTCCTTGGCAGAGGCCATGCTAATCTCTGTATCGTCCAATGTAGTGTCTGTGCTGGGGCAGCTAACGCTGGGGTCTTGGGAGATGACTGGGCCCCCTTCCCCCAGAGGAGCGGGTCTCCCCGTGGGGCAGCGGATCGGTCTGCACTGAAGGTGAGCCCTGGAAGGGCAGGGCAGGGCGGCTCCTCCCTCCCGGCCGCTGAGGTCCAGGTGACTGTGTGTTCAAGCTTCTCCTGGGGGACACTCCCCACTATGGAGGGGATCGGTAGCAAAGCCTGTCCGCCGGCCCCCCGCCCTGCAGCACGTGGAGGGGCTGAAGGGCGGGTGCTCTGGGTGCTGCCCAGTTTCAGGCCCAGCCTGGCTGTGGGCAGGGGGCACCGCTGGTGACCTGCTGTGTTTCCCCTGCCCCCATCAAGTGCTGTGCCCCTCCTGCAGGACCCCAGGAGGCAGCCCGCCCCCCGCCCCGCCTTCACAGGTCTCCCACAGCTGCTGTGTGAACACAAGAACCTCATCCTGGCACTTCCTACCACACGCATGTCTGCAGTCGGCAGAACCCACTTGCTCGCCACCACCCATAGCAGGCGAGCGGAAGGGTGGTTCACTGGGATTTCTGGAAGGCTCTTGCCTGTAGCCAAGTTCAGGTCTAGCAGTTTAATCATCTTTTGAAAATTCAACTGCACGATCTCCAAGAATGCTCTAATTCCAGAACCAATCGGTCCAGCGCCAAACCTGCAGCTGCTCTTGGTGGCAGCAGTGGTCTGAGCTCCCGGGCTGCACAGACCACCCGTAGGACAGGGACGAGATGCCTGCCCTGGGGGGAGGACAGTCACGATTCTCAAGCACAAGGAACTGGCTGAGTCAGAAAAAAAGGGCCGAAGCATGTGCATTTAGAATTTATTAAGAAAGCTGTCGATCTGAACAGGAGGGAACATTTATCTTAAAAAATAACATCTGCAGGAAAACAGCACAAGGCACTGAGCGCACGTCACGCCTCCCCGTCAGGAGGGCTGGAGCGGCAGCAGCCCTCTGCCACCGGGAGGCTCTGCACGTCCTCTGGATCCGACTTCGTTATAAAAAGGCCGCTTGGAACATGTATCAAAACCCTCCATCACTTTTCAAACCCGAGGCCCCTAAAGAGGTGCGTTCCGACGGCTTCACAGTGTACAATCTGTGCCCACCTTGGTCCCTGCAGGACAGCAGCAGCCAACCACACAGGTGCCCACACTCAGGCCGCCAGTCGCAGGCGCCCTGGGAAGGCTGCAGGGTGGGCTGAGCCAGGGGGCACTGAGCAAAGGCAACAAGGCACGCGGCCCTATCCAAGGCAGTCATTTCATTTCGGCTCATTTAGTGTTTCCTTTATGTGGGAAATCAAGGACAATCAAACGAACTTAGAATGAGCGTTCTGGAATAAGAATGGAAGACTCGTATCACAGAACTGCTGTTTCCATGTTCAGCACTTAAAACCATGGGTGGCTTTATAAACACGCCTTCCAGTGGGTCATGGTCTTAATGCAGGGGTTCGCCCAGGAGCAAGGGCTGCGTGGACAGAAACCTCGGTGACGCCAGTCCGCCGCTCCTCGCTGCGGCGAGCTAATAACACTGTTCCCAGCCGTGAATTAGCATCTCGCGATAGACAGCTTTACTGGGAGGCTGCGTATTTAAAGACACAACGGCATTTCACATCCCACGAGCGGAGACTGCAGGATGTAAACAGAGTTGCGAGCTAGAAGCTTCTCAAGACTCCTCCTCCCCGCCCTCCTTGATTTCAGAGATTCTGTCTATGGACTTAAGGATTTCAGCCACAAGGTTCAGTGTCTCGGCTCCGGAAACCAGCTGCCTACGAGGAAAACACTGGCATCACGAACTGCGACCACCCTGATCAACAGAACACGAGGGACCAGCAGACGGACCGGAGACCAGCGCGGGTCCTCCAGGCCTCGGCTCTCCCCTGAAGAGGCCTCGCCGTGAGCACCCCACCCACTAGAGCACCCCTGCTGTGCACCCCGCTGCCCGCAGCTCAGCCAGTGGGAGGAGCGTGAGGACTGTTTGTGACCCTTGCTGTCTCCCAGGAGCTCACTGAGCAATTTGTGGGGGCAGGGGGGACACGGGATGGGGCGGGATTTGCCTTAGCGCCCACTCCTCTCAAGTAGAAACAGCCATCACCACACAGAATGGTGGAGCCTGCTGGTGCGTACACCGTGACCTCAGGCCAACGGGCCCATCAAGAGCACCCCACCTGAGCCCTGAGCCCGCACTGCGCGTGCACTCACGGTCTGAAATGGCACTGAGCCTGCCGCCCGCCTCCTGCCACTCACTTGATGGAGGTGTGCGCGTTGCTCATGACCATGCGCAGGTTCTGCAGGGCCACGTCTGTGTTCTGCTTCACCATCGTCAGGCTGGCGCCCTGACCTGAGCGCAGGGCCTCATTCTCCCTCTTGAAGTTGGAGACCTGCGCCTGGGGAGTGGCCGTGAAGGGGTTTTACGGTCAACAGGGAGCAGCCACGCGCTGTCCACCTAACGCCCACAGGGCACCGTGGGAGAGGAGAGGGCCCGGTCCCACCACGGGCCCACCCTGCCGGGGCTCCCAACGGGCCCCTCTGCTCCAGTCTGTCCTGGAGTAGCCCATGGGACTGAAATTTTACAAAATTGGACGCGGCCCAGGGTGGCCACGGCCCGGGGAGCGGGCCGAGGAAGTCTGAGCCGGGGCCTTCGTCTGCACGGAGTTTGCCCCGCCCGCCCGTCGGGAGGAAGAGCCCATCAGAGGCTCTGGTGTCTTTTCTGGAGTCACTGAACCGAGAGGTGGAGCTCGGGGCCTCCGGTTACCTGGAGCAAGCTTATGTCTTGTTTCAGCTTCATGACGTGGCTTTCTGCCTTCACGGCACGTTTCTGTTACCACGGAAACAACACAAAGCATCAGCGGCAGGTGAAGGGCACACGGTGCCTCAGCCCCGCCCTGCTGGCCGCTGTGACCACGTGACATGCCCGCCGCCTCACAGCCCTGCCCACCCCACAGCCCTGCCCACCCCACAGCTCTGCCCACCCCACAGCTCTGCCCACCCGTGCGTACGGTCATCAGCTCCAGGTTCTGCTCCACCCGCTGGACCACGGATTCCAGGTCGTGGTAGTCACTCTCCTCCTTGACCATTTTTGCTTCCAACTTCCGCTCCAGCGTCCTCACCCTGCAAAGAACACCCCGCGTCACCGTGGCTCTGGGACCAATTCCGGGGCTGCTTCTAGAGGCACTTCGGCTGGGCTGGCTCGGTAACGGCCACGAGTGCCCACTGTCCGGAATGGGCCGTGTCAGTGAGGCGCAGGCGAGGCGACACCCTCAGCGGGTCTGAGTGAGCGCAGCCATGGCCCGCAGGGGTCTGCCGCTCGGTTGGGACGTTTAAAACACACGGACACAGCAGGGGCCCGACACAGAACAGAACCCAGCCCCAGCCCTTGTAACTGCTCGCGGCTCCTGTCAACCGCCCGGCGCGCCCTAACTCAAGGCTTACATCTCGGTTTGCGTCTCAGAGAAGCTCTGCACCTCCGTTAGCTTCCTCCTGAGCTTCGAGTTCTCGTCTTTCAGCTGCAGAGAGAGGAAGTCCTGGTTAGGAACTCAGCGTGTCTCCCGCAAAAGGGGTCTGTGTGCTGCGGTGTGGCCTGGAACTGCCCGGTCAGCAGAAGTGCCCTGGACTCCACCCCGGACCTTGCAGAGCACGGGTATCACGGGGGCCGGGCCAGGCTCCAGTGTGCTCATGTGACGTGTTTGCAGGCTGCTTTGTTATTTTTTTCTTTTCCCACGTAGAGGGCACACTGTCACAGGAAGGCCAGAGTGTCCTGCCACCTGTGAGGAGTAAGCCCACGTTGCTGTTGGATGTGTTAATCACAGAGGAGTCACGCTTCAGGCACTCTGCTCTCTTCACATCGGGAGCAGGCTGCTTTAGACTAAGACTTTCCTCTACTCAGGACACTGGGCAAGACGCTGAAGCCGACCCCTGTGGGCAGCCCCAAAGATCCCGACTCTGCTTGGTCCCTTCCTGCACAGCCGCACCCGACTGCCCTGCACGGCCGCTGTTCCCGTGGCACCGGCAGCCGGGAGCGCGCTCCGCGGAGACGAGGGAGCAGGCTGCTGTGCAGAGGGTCCTGTCCTGGAGCCAAACCCGGGCTCCTGAGGACGCCAGCGGCTCAGGTGTTCTCCAAGAACCCTGCTCTGACACGGCGGCTCCCCGTGCCGGCGCCGCCCCTCACTTACTGCTTCGTAGCTGATCTGCAGCGTCCGAAGGTGCCTGTCCCCCAGACACTCTCCGTGGGCGGCGAAGTCTGCACTGGGACTCGCCATGGGAGAGACTCGGGAGTCGGAGTCGCTCAGTGTCCACGGGGGCAGGGTCTCAGGCCCTGCCAGCTCCGAGGGGCTGAAGAAGGAGATGTACGTGCTGCAGGGCGACGCGCTGGCCGAGACCCTCGAGTGCGTCTGCTCCACGGCGGACGGCAAGTAGGCGCCGTTCCACCCGTCCTCATCCTCGTCCTCGTCCAGGAGGTCGCCAGCCCCCGTTGGGTCTTCGAAAAACGGCTGCTGGAAGTCCAGGCCGAAGCCCATGGGCTGGGAGGGCGGGGAGCTGCAGTCGAGGCCCAGGGAGTGCCTCGTGGCTTCCTAAGGACAGGACAGGGCGGGGCGGGGCTCAGACTCCGGACCGGCAAGGCCTCTTCCTGGCCCCAGGCAGGAGCTCAGAGGCGCCTATCTCCCACCAGGACGGC